AAGATGTGGAGGTAAAGCTCCATGTATTCTTAAACATGGCACCAGTTGAATGCTCTGTCACAAAAGAACAGTTGCCACTGTCCAGTATATATCATGAACCACTGAAATTTCCTCATCATCAATTTTGCATGTGATTTAAAAGTTTGACAAACCAAGTTTCATAAAAAGTGGGGAATTGCTTGATTAGCAGAGCATAAAATTAGAATCTCAAGCAGAACTCTGCTCCATGGAATTAGTTATTTAAAATTGTCATTACATTACAACTATATAGGCCTGACTTGATTGCTCAAATTACCAGTAATCTGTTAAATTATTACATGAAAATAATTTGGATGAATACGTTAAGAATATTATAAATTTCTCACTTATTTCAGCCTAATCAGGTCCTTATATTTTTCTTAGTACTTTGTTTTCAAATACTTTTTTTAACTCTCAAACAGTCCTTGTTTTACACCCATACAAAATAACTTGAAAACTTCTTGGTTTGTGAACATACCGGGTCTCCAATTTATGAGGTTACGGTCGTGCATACATTGCGTTATCGGCCGCTGCTGTTGACGAAGGCGGGACTTGTACGCGTGAGTCACGGGCGAATCAGTTTCGGTGCCGATAGTAACAGCGAACTACGAATTTTTCTCGTCACTAATACATGTTATTACATTAATTGTTCTTCCCTTAAATCACAAATGATGTTCAAAGTGACTTCCTTGTGCTTGCAAGCAAGTTTCACATCTCGTTAACATGTTTCGAAATACTCGACGAAGCTCTTCTTGGGAAATTGCCAAATATTTTCTTTTTGTGAACAGGAAAAGGATGCAGGGACTTGACTGACTGCTCACACCATAATAACAAACATTTTTCACCAGTTATTAACATTTTACTATATTATTAAGCACCTCTAAAATTTCCATTAGCATGACAGAAGCAGTAAATGCTTTCATGGAGCCTTAGATGTTGATTAACATGTACTGCTGAACATAAGTAATGGTAAATGAAAAAAATATCAATACCTATGTGTTCCAGTAATCTGTTTAATTACGATTATTTGGCTAAAATTATTTTGATAGGCCTGCAAATTATTAATTTATCAATAAAGACTTTATGTAGCCCAAGAAATTATCAATGTTATCACTTGAGGATGACTGGCTTCCCAGTTGTAGTGCCATGTAGTCTGGTAGAAGTTTACCAACATTTCAGAGGTCTCATCACCCTGATGGTGGAGGCAGTAAGGACCTCTGAAACTTTGGTAAACTTCTACCAGACTACACAGAACTACAACCCAGAAGACAGTGAACTTTGGACTCACCATCATGAAAACCTCATATCCTACAAAGTTATGTTGTGATATATTCAGACTCAGTTGTAATGGATTTTGGTGTAGATTAGTCAATTAAAAAGAATTATTGCCGAGAATTTCATACCAACATCACAGCACATTTAAATAATACTTACTAAAGTACTGTTATAATTTTGTACCACCTACAAAAAATTACTGTGATGGTAATATTTACTATCCTCTTTCACATGCACTGATCTGAACAAAATATTTGAAGTTATTGTTTACAAAATTTAGGTAAAAACTTTAGCACAGACTTTTATTTAATTGCACCACTATTTTGTGTTCATCTTTTTCCATTAAAATTCGCATTAACTGCTCACATATTTCCCAGCATTCTGAACTAGCCTGGAGGATTGTTTGCATAACTGAGGAGGGGACAAGTGTTATTAATAGGTCGTTAAGTAAAGTGGCTACTGATATGTTTAAAATGTAATTGGTATCTGGACAGGTAAGTTAAACATTCCTAATAAAGTTGTCCAACGGAATTTTATCACAGCAGTTTCTGGGTTCTTTTCAGTCCATTCCATGCTATAAAGAAGGTAACATAATCAGGAACTCCAACCACTTTTGGTATGCATACCTTTGTTATTTGATAATATCACCGAAAATTAAGTTTTTCTGTTGTGACTGATGTTTAAAGTTATTCGTAGCTTTTCAGCTGTTTTCTAAAATCAACCAGTACAGACAGCATTATGGAAAATTAAATTCATTCAGAAGGACTTTTATGAGAAAATGCTGTGCAAAATAAGACATTCCTTTTTGCAGTATAACCATTTTTAAGTACCACACTTATATATAAATTTTCTGTGAATATACAGACTCTAGCACTAGTTTAACTAACAGAAACACAACATGCAGTTTCTTTGAAAACCAGTACAGCTCTTACAAACAAACAAACAAACTATTTAATTTTTAAATAATGATTGAGAAGGGGCAGTCATTTATGTGCAAAACATTTTAGCAACCTGTTGTGGAATATTCAGCTTCTACAGACACATGTAATCCACAACAGCTTGCCACATTATACTTGAGCCTGATTATGGCCATTGAGCCAAAACAGAAATTAATTGAAATGCAAAGGGTATAGTTTTCGTTTTTTTTTGTATCTCAGATTAAAACATACCACATAATAAAACAATTGAAAATGTTACTGTTTAGTTTTATATTTCTATTTGTATATCTGGCTAATATATATCACATAATCTATGGAAAATCCTGGTCTAGGTGTCAGTTTGCATAGAAACGCAATATTGTAATCTCCCCCCCCAACAATCACACTGAAACCAGTACAGGTAAAGATAGTCCAAACTTTTCATGTAGGAACAATTATAGAACAATTCTGATTATTTTTAATAATCAATAACAAAGACTATCTGCTATAAACCAATTATAAATATTTAAAAATTAAAAATACTCTGCTGGGTCAATATTCAGTATGTAACTGATATTCAGACTTTGATGGTCAGGGGAATACTGATTGTTGAGTAGGTCACTGATATTCACAGCAGCAAATATTATGGAGAACTGACTGTCTCCTTATTCTATTGGAACCAGGGCTTCATCCGAGGGTAAAAGAGGCCGGAGCGTGAATCTATTCAACTAAGTCTAATGCCAAGAGTTAGACATACAGTAAGATTTACACAAGCCAGATTGAATCCTTACGATTTTATTCGACACAAGAGGCGGCAGAGATTTCAGTACCTGTAATTGCCCAACTTGAAACAATGTTCGAACTCGCCTAATTCTACATTTGTTATTCACTCAGGAAACATGCATCATTATGAAATTCAGTATCTTTCTTGCCGACCTACTTACCAAATTTTCTAATAAGTTATTCAACCCACACTACCGGTACTAACATCGCGTTATAACATTAACATTGGTCTTTAAACAAAGAGTGCGATGATTAAATAAAGAAAACTGTCATCCCACGACGGATTTAAATAACGGCGCCGTTTACGTGCAACAGCTGTCTATAAAGCACTTATTCATAATTTCTCCACGCCAGTCTTTTGCTTGCTCCAGAGTTAAAAAGCAAATTAAGCGAGTATCGCCAATATAAATTGTGGCCTTCTGGGATATGAGTTTCATAAACTCATGAAGTAACAGCTATATTTCGCTCGATTACAAACAATAAACAGCTTTCAGGTGGGTCGGTTTCACTACGAGCAATGACAGCACAACATGTTTCACAAGTTTATATTTCACCAGCCTATAGGTTTACTATATCATGCTTCGGACCGGTGATACGGAATGCGCGCAGGTTCGAGTCTCGGTGAAATAAATTTCTCATGAGATTTTCGACCAGTGTATAGGACCGGTGCCAACCCAGCATCGTGAGGAAATTGGGGAGCTACAATGGCTAGCGTAATCCGGTCATGAAAACTAGCAATGGCTGAGGGTTCGTCGTGCTGACCACACGTCATCCTATATCTCGTTGGATGATCTTTCACGTGAGGCCAGTAGCCAGCTAGTCGGCTTTGTCTCTCAGAGGGCTGTTACGCCACAGATTATTATTATAGGTTTACTATTAGCTAACAAGTGTGAGACCAGAACGGCAGAAAATGTGGGCAACGGAATAGTCCAAGATTTTCTCATATAGGGCCTAGTATGAAAGACGTATCCTTGAATATGTCCCTTCCGATCTGATAAACAAATTTGTCTTCCCACACTTCAATTTTTCTCCCCAGGAAAAGAAGAAACGGACCTTGTTTCCACAAAAGCTCGGGCAAACAGTTCCGTTCATTTACGACTAAATCCCTGAATATGAATTGCAACGCACCTGAATCAAACAATTAATTTGAATTTGTAAGACTTGAGATACTTAAAAGCGTTGAAAATGTCGATGTTCTATCCTGGGCTGTGACGTCATGTAAACGCGTACGTAGACAGGCCCACCAACGTTTGGAGAAAACATGCTGCCTCCATCTTCAGGAATTTTCTAGGATAAAGATGGAGAAAAGATGGTGTCGACTTACGAGTCTACACGGCATCACATCCCAGATAAGCATCGCTAACACATTAATTTGGGACAAGTAGGCTTCTTTTTCGCACTATGACGTACGTGTGACAGTTGCGAGATGGAAAACCACACTGTGCAAAAATGAGCTAATTCATAAGCAAGATGGGAGTTTCTAGTATAAACTGGATAGTACAGCTTAATATCCTTGTTGTACTAAGACTTAATGAGTAATTCTAAATGTATGCACTCACCACGCCATGGACAATGACACGAAAACAATTAAATTCTCAGCTTTCTTCACAACCTGAGGAACACTGGAAGCAACAAAACAAAATGGCGGGAAATACTCTCTTGTGAAACAAGATGCGCATGCGTAGATGTCAAACGGCCATTACTAAATCCAGAAGATAATTGAACTTGTTGTACGCAGCGTGTAAGATGTTGCAGTTCTGCGTAGTAGTCCTTGACACAATTCATTATAAAGACTTGCACATTTATTAAATGGGACTTTTACTTAATAAAAAATAAACTAAAATATTATAGTAAATATACTGACACTTTAAAAGTTTAGTCATTGTTGGGAAATTAAATAAGAGTATGGATTGTAGTCTTTTGGTCGTGTATTTGAAAACGTTCTGCGACAGGAACCGGAATTTTCCAAGATGGCAGTCAGAAGTTTATATTTATTGGTATTTATAGATTTAAAACCTAAAACGTTAGCGTAAATCCATCTTAATTCTTCAGCTGTTCTGTGATAGTGAATTATGCTTCATAAGTAGCAAATGTAATACCATATCTCATACTTTTTAAAACTATCTGGAACTGTGCGTATATTACTGCTTGCCCTATAAAGGAATGGGCTGTTGTGCGTATATACGTGCTTAAGATTCAGAGCAGAATATTCTATTTATGACGATATAAGGTGATTTCGTAGTTACGTACCATTACTCAAGTTTTATTTAGTTAAAAATGTATTTCAGCATCGTGGCAACATTCAAATTATTAATGAGATGGTTGGCATACATTCAAATAATGACAAGGATATAATTAAATTTATTAAAGTATACATGGGCAGCCTAGTTTGTGTTTCAGTTTTGTTGGTAAAGGCCTCTTGTAGATTCGTAAGTGTCTATAAATTCACATATTTTTGTTGACAATTTTAGTAGAATCAAATTCAGTTTTTAATTTTCTGATGGAGGACTGATTATTATAGAGTAGACTAGATTGAACTGTATTAGGCAGCCTGTCAAATGGTGTTTATTCTCTGGATGCTGATTCTGTAGAGCATATAGAGTGTGTTGAGTTAATTGACTTTGTTCTATTCCAGTTGCTGAAACAATCTTCATGACCAGCTCTTGCAGGGAAATCTGTAATGCAAACACATACAGGTATGTCTTCATGTACTGAAATTGTGTAACTTTAATACATGGAAATGTAGGATTCTGTGGAAGTCTTTCCAAGCCACTAATTTTTTGCTGGTTACATATTACAGACTTCTGTTTATCTCACTAAATATTCACCATTTCTGAAAATGCTTTAGACATGATTAAAAAACATAATATTGTAATTATTTTGTATTATGTACACTTTTCATTCAGCGTGTTTCATGTATATTCCATGAAACGTATGTCTATCTTACAAAATATTTAGGAACATTATTATATGTATTGAGTTGTGGAATTTTATATAATTTTATGAAACATTGTCACTTTACATACCACGTCATCCAGAACTTTTGAATATATATATCCTTAATTTTATTTCAAAGTAAAGTTGTGTGTTTGAATCTTCAGTCACTTTATCATTGCCTTTAATCATATCTTAATTGCTAACTGTAATACCTTCTTTGATTGCAGAAGTCACAAGTCTGTTAGGATGTTCAGATTGCAAGTCTAGTTTCAACTCTGCTTCCTTGCTGCTGCAACATTTTGCTCAACACGTCTCTCAGGAAGCCATTGGCTGTCAGTTAAAGCATGTCAGTATCCAGCTATCTGATGATGTGGCACAGTGTATACAGAAACATGCCTCAGTACCAGATTTACAGAAAAAGAAAACGGAAACCATTCTAGAAAAAGTATTAAAACGCAATTCAGCCTTGCGCCATTTGACAGTAACCAGCCATTGTGAACCAGGTCCCTCAGCAGGTAATGAAGATATTGGAACATTTCCTGACACAAGTTTGTCTTCCCCATCATCAGTGTTGCAAACAGTAGGTCCAGATCAACTCTGCTGCATGACGGCAGGCTCTTTGAAAACAGAGGTTCTGAAAAATAACACTTCACCTGGACTGGATATGTTGTTGGAAATTGGGCAGCATGGAGGAGAGAACAGTCAGGGTTCACAGCATATCTTTTCTTCTTCATCATTGTCATCATCATCATCATCTTATTCTTCCAGTGATGTTCAGCTTGTTAAATATGACCTTCAGAAACGTTTGGAAAATTGCATAACTAAATTAACATCAAAGCAGGAAAATGGGCTAAAGTCAGGAAACAAAAAATCTTTTAAAAGTGGCGCCACTAATTTATCAGAACCAGACAAGAAAATTCAACTGTATCCTGTACAGTATAAACCAAATTCAGAACTGGCAGGTAACATAAGTGCCATTAAAATGGAGGAGTATGCAAAGAGTAATGAAGAATCAGAGGACTTTAACCCTTTAAAATTTTGTTTTGTAACCTTGGAGGAAAGTGAGGGCAATGCAGAAGAGCAAAAAGGGAAGGTGGCTGAAGAATCCATGGTCAAGACTCCACGGGGTGCATCAAGTCGCAAACAGAAAACTCCAAAGAAAGTGTACTACCATCAAAACGGAAAACTGAACCACAATTATGTAGCATCAGAACTTGTTTCAGGTGATTCTGAGAAGGTTGTTTCTTCCTGTGCATCTAGGAAGAAATACCCTTGTCACTTATGTTCGAAAGTATTTGGGTGGTCTACTGATCTCAAACGGCACATCTTGACCCATACTGGAGAACGCCCTTTTAAATGTAGTGCTTGTCAAGCCACGTTCACTCGCAATTTTCTCCTTCAGAAACACCAGAGGAAAATTCACAGTTCTTGTTTCACGGTGTCACAGGAAAGTGCAATATCCAGTCTGTATCCTTCTTCAAATAAAGAGCAGATCTGGAAAGGTGTAAAAGAAGAAAGTGAAAATAGTACTTTGAAATGTATGACTCAGTGTAGTGATGATAGTGATGAAGATAGATTGGTGATATGTGATGATGAGAAACCAAACGGATCTGTGCCAAGCTGTATGGGGACAAAGTCACAGCATAAAAACTCATACAAAATTAATTCAGCAAAGAAAAGAAAAGAACTACAGTACAAGATCTCTTCGTATGGAATTTTTTCACATGAAGCCTTAAATATTTTATAGATGTATTTAAATAATATGGAAACAGTATTGAAGCTATAGTGTATAGTGTGAGTATTTATTTTATAAATATCATGCACATTTTTGTGCTAGGATTGGAATTTATAATTAAGAAAAATAATCTATATACAAAAACCACAATACAATAACTTTTTGAATACCATAAAGATGACCAAATTTTTATATCCTTCAGATTATATATTTACATACAACATATTTTTATAGTCAGATTTAAAAATAAACCCTCAGATTATATATTAAAATTAGTTATTTTTCATTATAATCAAGAAGCCAGTAAGTTACCAACTTTTAAGTTTTACATTCTCAATAGCATTAGTACATACTAATTGAAAGTTTCCTTACATGAAGGACTTAGAGTTTCTGAATATAAAATTGCATTAGTACTTTAAAGCAAAATGTGACTTAAACATAGGAAAGCATTTAGATTTGTGTTCACTATATGTTCCTAATTATACTGAATTGTGTCATTTAAACATTATCCTCAGGTCTGATTAAAGCAGCAACTCCTATAACACACCCCGATGCTTTGGCCTAATGTTTTAGAGTTTATGATTAGAATAGTGTTGAAAGTTTTAAATTTGAAATAATAATTTATATTTTTTATAACTAAAAAATAAAAATAAAATCCATTTGGTGGAATTTGAAGTTTTCACGGCAGTGAGTCCGAAGATGGCGGTCTTTTGGGTTATAGCAGCCAATGTTTCAGAGGTTGTTGCTGCCTGTATCATCGGGATGAATGTTGGTAAACTTCGACCAGACTACATGGTGCCACAACCCAGAAGACAGCCATCTTCAAAATCCATTTGCTAGAAACAATTTTAGCTGCAACAGAACTGAAGCATGAGGTATATACCTAATGGTTATGTTTTTTATTTCTAAAATATAAGCATAATTTGAGGAGTAATGAGTTCATTTTTAAATCAGAATTTCTGTACTTATTGCAAAAGGGAATTGTAGTATATGTGAAATCTTTGCCATTAGGAAATTTGATGTACATGTAGTGCAACATGAGTCCATGGAGTGATTTTAACATTTTATACAGTATTAATGTTACTAAGTATTAAGGGAACTACAATTTGGAATTTGTGATGTTTGTAATAGTTGTTCTTTTACAAGTCTTGAATACAAGCCCAAGTTCATGAAAATTCATGAGCAGCATTTACAAATTTCAAGGGCAAGAAAACTGAAATGTATGCACAGTGACGATATTTGATGGCTGTGCTGGTGGTCTTTCTGCTACGTGCAGTCATATCAGTTGGTATTTCCTAGTCCTAGTGGCACAGCTACCAAATATCCTAATTGTATATAACGTAAGTTGCAAAAGAGCAAGGACCCACTGATACAGTGATAGAAGATACCCACTGTTTGCTTTGTTAACTTTCTAAATGAGAATCTTCTAGAATGGGTGGGGAGGAAGAGAGAAAATCTTGTGAGGACTAGAAGACATTTATTGTCATAACACTTCATTAAAATATTAACAGTGCAAACAAAATATCTGGTGGGTTTTGTGGAATGTGGGCCCATACTGTGGCAAGTGCTCATTTGTTTATTAACTGTCAAGTTCATGAAGTAATACAAAAGCCTTGTATCCATATCTTACTTGATCAGACGTAAATGAAAAAATGATGCTATTGAACCCAAAGTTAAAGAAGTTGCGGTCATATGAATACAAATTAAAGAAACTGGTTCTTCATTGACGTGGAATATAAAGTGAAGTTCATTAACACTTTTAAAGTGTGGTTTGGACATGTATTTTCCATATCTGCAGCTTTTTGAGTTGAACATTGTTATGAAATCACTGTGCACGTGGTATAGGTGGCTTGTCTATAGTAATGTCAGTGTTTTTCAATAATTCTTATTTTACAGTGTAGGCAAGGAACATTACCATCTTTTCAGACCAAAGGTATTATTCATAGAAACTTAGTATTATTTTCATTTAATTTACTCTTTGTGATAATTTTGTATTTCTGAATATCTTCACACATGCACAAACACACCACACATATGTTTCACTCACAATGTGGGACTGTCGTAAAATTCAGATGTTTATGACATCTACAATAAATGCAACGCTAATGCCCTTTAATATGTCTGGAACACAATCCAATTTTCTTAAAAGTAATTTTAAGAGATATTTACTGGAAGATATATCTTGAAACTGAAGGTGTTTGCCATTATTGAAGAACTGCAAAAAAACAAGCTTTGGACAGTATTTATACAGGAATGTCTAGCAAAGTCTTTGGCTAATTCAAGTAAAAAACACTGAGTGATAACATTGAGGAAAGAAATGCTGAGTGTGGGTATGAAAGAATACATTATTGTCAAAACTTACTGGTCTAATTAAAAGTCTTCTATTGAGGTACTTAAAATATCTGCACATTTATTTTACAGAAATCCTAGTCTTTCAGTGGACAATCTTAGGGTTACCAGAAGTCATGAGTTATTTTTAAGTAACAAAGGAACTTTGCCTTATGTTATTTCTTTATTAAACTATGCCATTTATGTAGTTTTGATTATACATATTATGTTGACATGTCAGGTTTAATTTCAGTGTTGTAATTATTTCATCATGTACATATTTAGTCTGTACACAACTATGAACTTAGTGATTTGAAAGTGGCTAAAACGCAAATGGAACAAACAGTTCCCAGTTCGATTACATGATGCATGATATTTCTGAAGAAAAAAATGGCCAGTTGTTTTGATGGAAGCTTATATATATATTTGAATAGAAGAGCATTGAAAATACTACTTCATGTATTATTTCCAAATAAATAGTTCCTTAATTCTGCGTATCCAGAATAAAACATTCTCCTGGGTCTCTATACCACACCATGAATGTGTGTAATAGGACAGATAAATCTCCACACATTCTTAACCTTGGAATTAGAATGGAAGTAACTAGTCAGCTTCATGCTCAGAACTCTTTACCCTGAGGGAAACAAACCCAGTATAAATTTATAAAACATGAGACTACATAAAATGTATGTACTTATCATTACAACTTTCATGCAACACTGTAATTTATAAACAGATACAAGAAATTTTGTGCAATATGTTTTGTATATTTCCAGAAGTGGGATAGCTATTAAATGTTTGGCTTTGTATGTATCTGGTAACCCTAAACAGAAAGTAAGAATTGAGTACCAATCTAGGTATATTATATTTGTAATTCTTATTTTAAAATATATAATTGCCTATGTCAGGTGCCTCTTCCTAGTCAAACATGTCTGATAAATATGACAAGCCATACTTTATTTAAATTTCCAATTATAAATGTGTATAAGGTATGGTTATTTAAGAAATGGGTTTAGTTAGCTGTCATATTGAAAAGGCACTCAATGTTTTTTACCCTGGCATTGAAACTAAATAGTATTACAAACCATCTGAGTTTTTAATATAATATTACTTTTAAATTATTGCTCTTGTCTTATTGTAATCTGAATAACACTATTGTTTTGTTTGTATGTGTGGAATTAGATGTTAATTTTTGCCTGTTTCGTCTCACAAGTGTGACATTCTTGGTGCTCTAAAAATTCTTGTAAATAACACAAGTGATATGGCTGTTGTGTCTTGTAGATTACTCCCACCCCAAAAAGTCTGTGGCTGTGTCTTACTAAGAACTAAAGAGGAAATGTGTAATAATTATAACATAATTAAAACGTGATAATCAGTACTGTAACTTTAAAATGGTAATAATATATCATTTTTAAATTATGTTTTCAATATCTTTTCCTTTCCCTAGTCTGATTAACCTTCATGATGTGGAATAGGGGACTTATGATCAGACTTTAGGTCTGAGGCTAATGGTTTAGTGGTATGCTATGGTAATGCATGGCAGCCAGCTGAATCATGCACAAGCTGTGATGCACAGATGATAAAAGGTTGAAGATGAGATGAGCAGGACAAGTAGCTTTCATGGGAGAAATGAGAACCACATACAAAATTTTGGGTGGAAAATCTCAAAATGAAGGGATCACATTGGAGGTCTAGACATACGTAAATGTAAAGGTGTCCCTGTGATTAAGCACCATACCATGAATAAGTGGGAGTATATGTAGAGCTTAGCACACTGTAAACCACAGCAGTAGGAGAGTGGTCAGCTACATGCAGTACCCACTGGATAAGAGATTGAGTAAGGACCAGAGCTAGAGTCTGGATGTAGTGATGAGAAAAATACCTGCTCACAGCTAGTCACTGTACTGATGAACCGTCCTGGCATGATCTGGGCATAAATGGGAGAATAATTTTAAAACTAATCTCAGAGGAATGGTATGAAAGGGTGAACAGCATCAGAAATGTAATTACCATAATTATAATTGGGTATGTAAGAATTTGAATGGTGACAACATTTACATGAGACATCTGAAAATCATTAACTACATGGTGATATGTTTGCAAAACTGGGTATGGGACTTGTGTTTAAAGGAAATTTATTCGTATGCTTTTCTTCAAATGGCATGTTATCTATTTTTTGTTCACAAATGCTACAAAGAGACTTTGTATATATTCCATTATTCAAGTAATCATTACACAAATTGCAATGTTTTTCCTTATTAATAAGAGGATGTATTTACAGTCACAATTACACTTAAAAACAAGATGAAAGCTCATTCACATATGTGTAAAATAGTATAATTTCTTTATGACAATGAAAATACTATCATAAATGTTCCAAGCAGGCATATGTTGTTACTGAATTACTTATGATGCGTTCATTCACATCTTATCTGCATCTGTTTTTGCAACATAATCCCACTCTGTCCAGTCCATGAAATTACAAACAGATATTTTTCTTCACAGTTTCAAACTATAACATTAACCAAAATACAAGCATTTCTTCTAATTTTAAACAAAGTAATAAATTACATCTGAGGTGAAAATGAACTGAGTGAATTAATAAAATTAAAATGCAGTTTACACATGTATCGCACAATTTAAACCCCTCTTGTGTACTAACAAAAAAAAATATTCTAAACAAATTTCTATGACTTTGTGTGTCCATATGCTTCAACCAGTGGAGAACGACTCGTGGAGGGTGCTGGCTGGGATGCTGGCTGCCTTGAAAGTTATGCCACTTTCCCTTTCCCCCTCCTCAGCCCATCATCATCTGCGCTTGCCCTCATTTGATCGCCGAGTAAACAACATTAAGGAAAGATATCAAATAGACATTGTTTACCTAACATCAAAAATTTGTTTAAAACCAAGCTCTTGGCATATTCTGACAAAATGTATACCTATGTAGAAGTGATAGTTTTGAACACTGCATTAATAATTTGTAAATATTTTGAGTAAACAAAATCAAATAGTATACCAATGGGTTCACTAATCTTCCTGGGCCACATGAAGGCATTTGGTTAATAATCAAAAATAGACTAAATGACATATACCATCGCTTTGAACAACACCACAAATTCTATATTCCTACATTATCCTTCATTACTGACATAATGCAAGTTATTCCATTGATTCAGATACACTACAAGTCAAACTTTATTGAAAGTGTAACTGAAATATCTCAAGTTTCACTTTAAAGCTGTAGAAAGATCTTACAGGAAAAATCATACACTGCAATGAAAAAATATGATTATGTATCAACTGGTTTGGTTATGTGGCACTGAACAAAGAATAGTAGTACAATTATGAATGACAAATTGGTAAAGATGTGGAAGAACTGATTGTAGCCTATTTTAAGTAACTGTCCTGGTATAATACTGGAAGGAATGATGAAAGCCATGGCAGCTAATCCTTCTGGAATGAAAACTGGGCACCTCCTGAATGTGAATCAAGTGCATTACCACTTCATTAACCCACTCTGTGAAAGCAGGGTAAACAATATAAATATCTACAATCATTCAGAACACACCAATTAATCAAAGCATTAATTAAAACTATGGCAGCTGAAGGAACACTTGGACAATAAACTACAGTTATAAAGCTTTGTATACAGAAAAGGATATTGTTTATCACGGCCCTCTCGATCATGTGACCTCTCTCTTTCACGAGAATATGGAGATTTGTCCTGAAACCAAAATCTCAAATGAATGGCACAGAATTTAACACAGGGAAATACACCATCAAACCCATAAGTTTTTGGACTGGTTATTTTTGGACAATGTGCCATTGTTGGAAGCCATGGAAAGGGTATCAAATGTGGAAAAACCCAAACATTTGTATGAAATGTTGAAAGTGGGCTGTGGTAAATAGGTTCAATAAAATACAGAAGCTTCTGAATTGTTTAAGAGGCTCAAGAATGACAACAACATGAATGACATCGAACAGAGGTACCATAACTGTGGTCTATGGACAAAGTCATCCACGAGCTTCATTCAAGCAATCCATGGAACTAGGATAACAAAATTTATAAAAGTATGTAGACAAGCAGTACAGAAGTACCAAGATACTTAGGGAACAAATAAAGTGCACTACCAACTTCATTATTCTCATCTTTAGCACCTACAGTACAGTGCATTACAACTGTAAAACAGGTAGAAAATCGTTAAGCAAGACCCTCAGCAATTTTCAAGTGGTCCAAGAGAAAAAAGTCTGGGATCAACTAATGTGGAAGATAAAAATGTTCTGTAACCTGGGATAATTTTGAAGGAGTGAAAGAACTATGAGTTGACAGAAATATGTTATGGCAAATGTAATGGTGTGGCATATTTTAATTGAAAACTTAACATGAAGAGACATGTAAGCACAATCCACAAACAAGCATCGGATCTGACAATGTAAATATTCTGATTCATCCAGGTCAAAAAAGTAAAAATCCGAAGTGTAAACATTCTCAACTTCCTTTTTAGTAACTTTACTTCTAACGAGTAGTTTATTTAGAATTTGTTTCTTCAACCAAGATGATTGCAGTGCACAGCACTTTACAAGTAAAGGAGATTTTGACGAAGTTTAATGTCTCTGAGCCAGATAAACCATCAAATATTTCTGACTTAGTTCCTAACAATTTCTTTCTGTTGTCCAAATTCAATAATTGTTGAGAACACAACTTTTAATCATTTGAGGCATTGGACAAAATAAATCTGTAATGCTTACAAGGAATATGAAGACTTTAAACACAATTTTCTACTGCCACAGCTCTACTGGCAGTTGTATATAGACTTAGGAGACTATTTTGAAATGGTGTACATACATTTCTGTTGTTTCACATTATCATCAGTCCAGAAACTTTTGGAGTGACTTGTAAATCCAGAGTGTCCCATAACAATGCAACTACAATGCAAATATCTGTATTACAAGTAATTTAAGAAAACATTACAACTCACAGCTATAAAATGTTTCTACAATTGAAGAACTTTTGACATACCAGTCAAACACCTTAATTCTAAATCACAAAATTCCTGCACTGTAGAAATAAAAACTATTCTGCAGTTTACTCTGTGCTATCTCACTTCTCTGATTCCTCAGTTCTGCAGTTAGCACTTACCTTGGGATAATGGTGCTTATCACGACCATGGGACTCACTGGGTTCTCCATTCTGATGACTTGCAAGCTTTGCAGCTGTGGAAATAGTAATGCACTGTGTGATAAACACCAAGTAAAATCGTTAGAAGACACATAATTTGATTCTAATCAATTAAAAAGTGATTTTTCCCAGGAACTGAATGTAATCTCTCTCACAAAATTTATTGCCTTCTAGTCAGAATACAGGAAACTAAATCAATCAACCAAAAATTAAATGGATGGGGAAAATCACATAAGAACAAGTTACAAGCTTTAACAATTCACATAATACTGTTGGGTAAAATACTGCAGAAACTGTCATATGAAATACTGAGGAGATGGAAAAGTCAAATTAGAATTGACCTTGAAGATGGGTAGGAACTAAATCAGAATTGTGTCTGATGACATGCTTTAGTATCAACAGTGCTGAGTTTTCAGTTTCTATTATCAAAAACATGGTTAGTTCTAAATGAGCTGTTTTCACCTGCTCAGCAATTCACGGTACCCATGACACAACTTGAAATGGCTCAGAGGACTGAGCAACAGTAACATCTACATGAAATCTGAGGTCCTCACTGTGGATTTGTAATGGGTAATATTTTGGAGGAACATCAGTGGACCTCAGTCCACATGGCATCATAACCCTGAAGACCCCTAATGGACAGAAAGTCAGGGAGACTACCTCCAATTACTATCAAACCTTGACTGTTCCAGGTTACAGCACCAGTGTCTGAGCCTAACGGACCCAATCTTTTAAACAGCCTTTCAAAATTTGTCTGCTGCTTAAGAGAGGCATAGATTTTGAAAATCTTACATAATCTACCTTTACTCCAACACCAGCCAAATGCCAGGTTAGAGACAGAGTCCCTAATTTAGGACTAGGATACAGTAATGTGCTGCTTGGTCGGGGCTACTGTACACCTCAACAGGCAGTGTTCAGTAGGAAGCAATGATGGAATGATGATTAGCAGGGGAAAAACCAAAGAAATCCTGGAGAAAAACCTTCTCCACTGCCACTTTGTGCGCCACAAATCTCATATGTAGTCACTAGGGACTGGACCCGGTCTCTGCAGTGACAAGCCAGCAACTCACCAACTGAGTTGTGGCATGGCTGAGAAAATAGTACACATTTTGTGAATTTATATAAATTTCAAAGAGCACTGTGTGAAGAATTCAAAATGCATGGAATTATTCCTCCACCCATTTATGACTTCATAGAGTAGTGCTTAGCACAAAGCTATATTACCTCACTGAGGTTTAACTACTCAAAGAACCAAGTGATTACAGCAACCAAAAAAATTAGTACACTTCTGAACTGTCCTTACCTTTTTCCTCTTCCTTTCGGCGTTTCTGTTCAGCTAGAAGCATAGCTTCCTCAGCACGGTCCTAAAAAAAATAACAACAAACTAAACCCTTGTAATTTATAAAAAAATTAAAAAAATGTCCATTTTGTGTTTTTGTTTTACAATGTAATTTATATTCACATCATTTATGCACCCAAAATTTTGCAAATGATATACACTTTAAATAATTCCAAAAATTCCCCTTTCAATTGGTGTAAATATTTTGTTTTTATAAACATATCAAGAAAGAGGAACTTATAAAATTGTTGGATCCCAGTATATAAGCAATAAGAATTTAGTGTTAACATAACAGTCTCATTCCAGTTTCATTATTATTTATTTGTAAAATGTATTCTTTCTTGAATGAAGGAGTATGAGTCTGAATAAAGGAAAACATAGTTAACTTTTATTTGTAAGGGAATTCTATGCAAGCCAAATTTTTTCACAATGAATATATTTTGAAGGTTTCTACCCCTACTCTGGGTACTCTGTTCCAATTCCATTTATCAGGAAATGTTTATTTTAAAATAATTTGAATTTAATGCAAAACATGTTTTTGTAGTAGAGATACTATTCAAATACAATTCCCTAACGACAAATACACATGAAACTTGAATGAAGGTACTGTTATGCTTTCAGAAATATATATGAGTATAATCCATCAGGATAAAGCTCATTATAATTGTGCTTTCATTTTCTGTCAAACTAAAAACCTTATATGTGAAAATATGCAACTATTGCAAAGGTTGAACATGCATGGAATTTTACCTTCATGGATCCAGCATATCTGCACCCTGTTTATTTGTTAGTTTATTGAAAAACTCCTTAACTCTACAGATTAATTATATAGTAAGAAGAGAGTATGAATGTGAATGCTAAACTGGAAAATATATAGAAATAGCAGTAGTATATTTTAAGATAATTCACCTTGATGGAAAGAGAAAAATATCTTCAATCAAGGCAGCTGCCTCTTGGGATGAAAACTGAACCGAGAATCTCCCAAGCAGGAGCCATTATCATTACACCAATGACATTTAGTTGATATATCCTCACTGCATGACATTTGTGCAGAGGGACAAGTTTACCATCAATGATTTTCATAACACAACTAATTTGGGCCACTATAATTTACTTCCCAATTTGTCATTCACAACCAACTTCCCATTCAAGAAAACTCAAGCCATTCAGTTGGCAAATAATACGTAATAAACACAAATCCCAATTTTTTTTACAAGTCCTATGAAATATTAACAACTTGTATACCCTTTTCCTTCCCAGCTTTCGTTCTTTACGCAGCTCCTTTTCTTCTTCTGTCACATTTTTGTCACGCATGCTTTTATCTTTTGTCTTGGAACTCCTCTCCTTCTTCTCAGGCTTCTCCATACTGCCTCCGCCGAGGGACATGGCCTCCAGTAACTGCTGCTGTTTGCGTTCTTCATGCTTGGAGCTCTGCAGACAAACACAGTTGGAAGGGAAAACAAATGGGAGGTTATTCGGTGAGCAGCAACAACTCCATCCCACCTGGCCAGCCGGTCTGACTGCTTCCAGCTGTGGGTGTGGTGGGGAGAGTTTTCCTTCACTCCTTGCTTACCAATAAGCAACAAGGAGGAGCAACACTTCCATAAATTATACCACCAATCACCCTTCAAAATAATGCAGTACCTTTAATACAAATGCTGGTGTATGTTCATTGTCAAAAATCATCTTACAAACTTCACATATACATTAAAGTAGGAAATACAAATATTCGTACACACCGAGGAACCATCTTAAAGCAAATAACTGCACATCTGAAGGCGGTCCAAGTTTGATGTCTCAAATGTCTTGATAACTCCTTGGTCCTTCGGTTGCAAGACCAATGTGGTATTTGGAGGTAAAAACATTACATAAGCATCTGTATGAATGAACTGTGGTTTCTGGGTCATGGCTGAAGGCACTGTCCAAAAGTAATAAAACTATGAAATCAAGATTCTTCTTCACCAAGTATGCTTTTACTTCAAGGACAAAACTATTTTGTAGTCATTTAATAGTACCCCTGTTACAAAGGAACTATCTGACTGCCAAACAACATGCAAATATTACTTATTTTTGCAGTTAGCCTATCCTTAAAAGCCCTGAACTCAGGAGCTGCCTTCTGGTACATCCTAGCATCCAACTTCTTACAAAAAGGACCCATTATATCAGCATTAAATATCTATTCAGGAGTACATCCTCTTTCCTTCACAAATTCTAAGAACTTGAGCCTGAATCATGCAACTGTTTCATGATCAGTTGACTCTTGTTCACCTTGTAGCTTCATATTATGCACGTTGATTCCTGTTGTAAAATTGGCAAATCAGTCTTTGCTTGCTTGAAAATCACTTTCACTAACACAACCTTCACTGGTGACTGATCGCATACAAACAATGCAGTCTCTCACATAGCAACACAGCATCAACAACAACTAAGCCTTTTTTGTTCTAATATGTAAAAATATTTCTGAAAAGCAACCACTTTAAAAAAATTAAAATTAAATGGAAGAGTAACTTTAAAATGAATGTTGATGAACAAATAAATTGGATTGCACTAGCACAATGTCCAATAACAACATTCAGTATTTGTTGTGATAAACCTTTGGTTTCTACTACTACAGAGTTACATAGCTTCAGGTTAAAAATATTTCAAAACATTGATTTGCAGTTGCTAAACTTGCACTTTTCTGAGAAACATGAGGTGAACCTACTCTGTAAATAAATGTTTCACACAAGCTGTTATCTGCTTCATTCAACAAACCACTTATTATTCTCACAAGGCATATCACACAAACACAGCCTTTGTGCAAAAGGAAAGCTGACACAATTAAAAGTGTTATCCTCAAGTGTGCACGTAAGTTGGTTCAAGGTCAGATTCCAGTAGTATTATTAAACAGAATGAAAAATGTTCTATTATCATATTCTCTCTCACTCCATGCAAAAGTGTAACTGTGAGTCTCATACTTTTTGACAATGAAAATACACATACCATTAATAACAAGTTCCTGCAGATGCAACGAAAAAGCAAACATAACAAATTACCCATTTAATCAAACACTTAATTAAAAACAAACTTTCACCCCAACTACACGTGTGTCAATTGCCATAATCTTGTACACTTTATCTGAAAATAGTGCATTAATCCTAGGAACAGTAACGGGTGATTTTAATAGCCTTGGCTATTCTGAAAATTTTTCATTAGTTGAATAATTAATACACCATATCCTGTAAGAAAGAACATTCTCAACTCCTGAAGCAGTTACATACAGAAAATGATGCAATTTACACTCTTCTAAATGGCAACTCCTTCGGCTATTTTCAAGCTGTATTTTTTAGTTTGGGGTGGGGGCGCAGAGAAATGCTGTTAATAACCATTACAATAGTTTATACAGCTGATTTTAGAGCTGGAAGTCCTACCAAGCATTTGGATTGTGGCTATTAACATCTTTCAAAAATAATATGCCATATTAGCAGCATAACGTGATTGTGTAAATCAATTATAATTTTGCTACTGAAGGGAAGAAGCTTCCAGTATACAGGAGTGGTGACACAATATGCTGTTACACTCTATAACTGCAACAATAAATCTTTTTTTTTATTATTTTAACTTAGAAATGAACCAAAATTTATTTGGGAGTATATCTGAAATAAACGACCCCATTTTCA